TCTCACTGACTCTCTTACACACACACACGCTTACCAACGCTCACGCTTTAGTGCCGTCTCGGCTCACTCCTTCGCTCGCCCATTGGCTGTCGCCATTACTCCCTATAACGCTCCGTCTCATCGTCTCATTCGCTCGCTTACAATCGCTATCGTTATCAGAGTAAAAAGAATAAACGCATATATTTTGAGTAATATGGTCGTATAACCCCTGATCAAGGGAGCTTGAACCAATATTGTCTGAACTAGTCATCAAGGTCGTCGTCGTCTTCGGACGTGGATACTCTGTAAGTAGTTTCTCATATATTTGTACGCGTGTAAAAATACTTAAGGGGATCCTGCAGTGACTGGCGAACTTCCTCGAGGTCGATAATGTCAACCTTTCTAATTTTGTTTTCCCTATATCTGTCTTTGTCTAACGAAATGACATCTGTCCTTTTTTCGATTGCTCACCATCTTACGCAAGATCCGGCAACTACTGTTGGTGCTCTTCTTGTCATCCTGCATCCGTATTTGCATTACTAAAATAATTATTAGATGGATCTTTTTTTGTACGTATTGAATCTTACTTCTACTTACACGATATTATTCCTACATGTTTTCCCAAGGGTGGATGATAAACATTATGTACGTATAAACTGTAGAATTTTTGTTTTAAGCAAATATTGTCGTCAGGTGACAGCTGTGTATGTGCCCCAATAAGTAATATTTTTAATTTTTTGGTGCTTTTGATATAAAATCGCGTTTTCCACCCTAGATTTTTGTGCGGACTTTAATTCTAGATCAAAAACTTGCAATTCTGTAAAGCCAATTAAAAGATCCATCGATTAACGATAATGTCGGTAAATCATACGGCTGCAGGATCCCCTTAAGTCGTATAATTACCCCGGCTTGTAATATATGCAAGCATTTTTTAGCAGAGAGTCCGTTCCGAATTGCGCATCAGACGCATAGCGTATATATATTATTTGTCCTTGATGTTCATCGAACGTTTAAGAAGAATAAATAGTGCTCTGCGTTTGATGTACAAATTCGGAACGCACCCAGAGGTTACGATACGGTTCATGTATTTCTACAAATATATATATTATATGCATTTATTTGTTTTTGTGTTCTAATTCTGTTTTTTTTTTATTCCAAGATTTAATTTTGCTGCCTAGTTGTGTCGTCCCTGACAACATAAGTGGGAACAGGAACCTGGTGCTACGTTATAGATTAGTTAATATACTAACTAGCTAATAATAACAATCAAAACAGCGAAATTGTTAACGTGTTCGGACGTGGTTACTCATGAATTTTCCCATAAGTATTACTTGTTACGAGATACTACCGTGTATCTTCTCTTGATTCTCTTGATTTATTGACTACCAAAGACTGGTATAAGTTTAAATAAATAAAAATCTTTTTTAATATTTAGATATTTATTCTTTCTTAATAATAATATAGATTTATTTTATATTTTTGTATGTTTTATATATATATAGAAAAAGATTTTTATTTATTTAAACTTATACCAGTCTTTGGTAGTACAATAAAACTTTCTCGTAAAAAACTTAAACATCGACATATTTTAAATACTACAAAAAATATTTAACACAAATCTCTTCCAAGAAAAAAATAGTTTAAAAATTATATTTTACTACACACGCGTTTTTTAATATTCTTTAAGTATGTAATTACAAAGAAAAGTCACTTGAGATCTGAAATTAAATTGAAGAAAGTACTACAAGGAAATAATATGAATTAATGTCATATAACAATCTGTCTAATGTATATGGATGTAGCTTATCAGAAGTACAGAATTCGAAAGATGGTAAAAGATGCAACGCTAATTTAGAACGATAAAGGATATTATTGTTATTGTATATCAATTGAATAATACATATTGCGAAATTATGCACTAAAGAATTAACATTGAGCTATTAATTATATAGTCTGGACAATATATTTATCAAATGATTGACAATAAAATGTTATTTAAATATTGAACGTAACAGAAATATATAAATTTTATTTTTAAATTTATATTTGATATTTCTTTCTGACAAAATTATTTCCTACATTTTCTGTATCCAGTGATGAAACGTTTGAGAATTTTAGAAAACGCTTAGAAAGAAGTAGATGCAACAAACAAGTTAAACAAGTTCTGTTTAAAATGTAATAACAAACGTAATTTATGTATTCTAAGAAAAGCTGAATAATATTTATAAATAGCTAAATAACTGAATAATATTTTGAGAACACAAAGTAGTTTAAATGTATGTTTTTAAAGCTTTTATTTGTTCTTTAAGTGCATCTACTTCTTTCTGAACATTTTCTGAAATTCTCAAACATTTCATCACTGGATACAGAAAATGTAAGAAATAATTTTGTCAGAAAGAGATATCAAATATAAATTTAAAAATAAAATTTATATATTTCTGTTACGTTCAATATTTAAATAACATTTTATTGTCAATCATTTGATAAATATATTGTCCAGTCTATATAATTAATAGCTCAATGTTAATTCTTTAGTGCATAATTCCGCAATATGTATTATTCAATTGATATAACAATAATATCCTTTATCATTCTAAATTAGCGTTGCATCTTTTACCATCTTTCGAATTCTGTACTTCTGATAAGCTACATCCATATACAGTAGACAGATTGTTATATGACATTAGTTCATATTATTTTCTTGTAGTACTTTCTTTAATTTAATTTCAAATCTTAAGTGGCTTTTCTTTGTAATTACATACTTAAAGAATACTAAAAAATGCGTGTGTAGTAAAATAAAATTGTTTTAAAGCTGCATTAAAAAATTCTCTAATTTTACTTGGAATTTTGATAAAAATTTCTGGAAAATCCTGGATTTTTCAAGGAATGGGTTTACAAAATTTGAGACACTCTTATAAAACTTTAAATCAGATATTTAGCATTGAATTCATTCTATTTGTTTTATTTATTTTTGTTTATTAAGTAACCATGCCTCCAAAGAAGATTCTTAAAACGAGCTACATAAAGCATCAGGCAGCATCTGCTGCTCGAGATCAACTCCAAGAAATTCTTAATGCTTCACAAGAGGAAGCTATCAATAATGAAATTCATATTGAAAATCCTCGAGCACATATTCAATTTGGAACTGAGTTGTTTCTCCAAAACGGCGACAACTATGATTTTGCGGTAAATATTTAATGTCCTGCATTTATGAAAACTTAGCAACTTATCTCAACACATCAATATAACCAGAGAGAAAGATGAGAGTGGTCATGCCCGCGTTTTGGCTGTACTCGTATCCTGTCGGTATGTGCACGTTTTTGTGGTTCTCTTCCGTGCTACGTCCACTATTTTGTAGTAAAATGTCAACGATTTTGGAGTTTTTTTCATGTTATGTTCACGATTTTTTGGTTCTCTTCCGTTAGATTCACGATTTTTTAGTTTTATTTCCAAAGAAAATCAAAAAATCGTGGACATAGCACGGAAGAGAACCACAAAAACGTGCACATACCGACAGGATACGGGTACAGCCAAAACGCGGGCATGACCACTCTCATCTTTCTCTCTGATATAACTTTTTGCTAATAACTTTTTTTCTGTACAGGTATCCCATTTTAGTGTTGTAGCTGGGAGAGGGGTACACGAAGGAGAAATGGCTAAGTATATGTAAGAAGATTTTCTCTCCTGAGGTTGCATCACAACTGAATTGGACAGGGACAGAGATAAAAAAAGGAATCAAGTCACTAAAGTGTGGTACGTGCATTATTGGTAAGTTATTGAAAATTCTGAGAAAAAAAACATGAAACTCTTACTTTCAGTCCTCTTAAAGAGGGAGCCTCATGTAAAATGACTAAACAAGTAGGTTTAAAGACAATGGTATTTAGTTATCTACATGCATGCCAAAGGGCAAGTCGATTGGTCGAATAGTTTATCAGTAATCTTGCACGCCAATTTGAAAAACATGGTTTTGAGAAAAACGCGTTTAAAGTTTCAAGTTCTCGGAGCGCGCGCTTTACTTGCGTAACGCTCAGGTATAAAATCGCTTATTTCAAGTTCGAATTTTGCTCTGGAACTTTGGGAACATATTCTAGAGATATTATACTAATGATTTGTGCAATAAAATTTTTTCGATTTTTTTTACTGGTTACATGAGGCTTCCCCCTTAAAATACACTTGATCTACTCTTAATAAATATGATGATTAAGGGGATCCTATAGTGACGGTAGTTACCGACATTTTTTCATTTTAAGGAATCTTTGAATTGGCTTTACAGAATTGCAAGTTTTTGGTCTAGAATTAAAGTACATACAAAAATCTACATCGCGATATACGATTTCATATCGGAAACGAAAAAAAATTGAAAATTTTACTAATTTGGGCACATACAACTGTCATCTGACGACAATAACAAAATTACTGCAGTTTATATACATATAATGACACCAACGCGACGTAGGGACAACATGTAGGAACAATATTGTGTAAATAAAACTAAGATTCAACTAGAAAAAAAGATTTTGTAAAATGAAGTTTTATTAAGCAAAAGCACATTCAGGTTGATAGGATAAGCAGTATTGCGTGTAGCGAGAGATGGCGCAGCAATCGAACAAAGACAGATGCCTCTCGTTAGACAAGGACAGATATAGATATATAACATAGAAAACAGGATTAGAAATGTTGACATTACCGACGTCGAGGAAGTTCGGTCTTCGCTATAGGATCCCCTTAACTTATCAACTTAAATCCTGTATTTAGTATTTCTCATGCATAATATTGTAATTTTTTAAATCTTTTTTCAGATGCATGTGGCAAACAATATAAAGGAAATTTTTCGAGATCAAAAGTCACAGACTCCATAAGTACGTGGCTTCGAAGTAATTCAAAGAGGAGAGCCATAAATAATGTTGATTTGCCAAAATAATAAAGATTTTTCAAAGGTTAATTACCTCCCCTATAGGTACAGATACTTTTTTGTTATGTTTTTTGCAATGTCAAAATAGAGGTTGTCAAAGGAAAATATATGAAATTCTATAACTACAGGTATAAATGTAAAAATTTGTTTTACAGGTGACAAGAGGTAACAACGAAAGCGGGACTATATACACGAGTGGTTATAACCAAGATGGAGTCGATATTCGCACGGCTATCCGTAAATGCAGCGCAGAAGCATTTTATTTTATTTTTTATCGCAAAAGTTCGTAAAAAAAATCGAAATAGATTATTTCCAATTATGTTCCCAATTATGTTTGACATGTAAGAATGCTTATCAATTAACTATCAATGGTTAAATGCCATAAAAATTTCAACCAATTTGTAACAAATCAGTATTAAAATACATAATATTATGTATTATTTCATGACTATTTATTTCAATAACGTTTTCCACACTATATTAATCTACGCGCTTATAATGCGCTTATAATACGCTTTTTGAACGGATTTTGAGCGCGCTTTGATCGCTATAAAATTGCATTTTTTTTCTGCGCTGGTCTTACGCGCTTATAAACGCTTTTTCTAGTGGATTTTGAAAGCGCTTTTAAAGCGGTAATATGCTTCTAAAGCGCTAAAAAAGCGCTTAATTCCTGCACCCGCAGTAGCGCTTTCAAAACGCTTTTCAGGCGCTGTTGTGCTACATATGGGCCATTATGCCACGTAATCTCTATTTTTGGATTTACAAACAAATCGCCAAATATATATGTACAATGTACATATTAGTAATAATTATACAAAAATACTTTTAAAAATATTTGTGTGAACAATATTTATTAAATAAAGAAAAATTACCTGAAATTAAAACGATTGTTTGTGTGCGGTGTCGTACACGTGATTGCGTGGTCCCACGGAGCCATGTAAAAGACAGCGAGAGAAGACCGGGAATGGTGGGGGTCGGTGCTGCGACCAAGCGCATAGCCACACACACTAGCGTTCTTCCCTCCACTTACGCACTCAGAAACGTTCTGTTTATCCGTGTGACAAACTCGTAATTTGAAAAGTTTAATAATGATTATATAAGAAATATAAATTTTAAATTTTATCCATTTATTTTATTATCAATTTACTTACTGGCTCTTAATTAACAATTAATTGTATATATAATTACCTTTTATTATTACAAAACAAATAACAAGTTATAAAATTAAATACCACCACTTATAAAATTTATCTTAATCACTTTTATTCCCCAAAAGTACAAGTCAGTCTCTTTTAATTTCATCACATTTTTTTATTTAGATTTTTCTTTCTTTTAGTCCAAAATTCTTTAACTGGTATATATTATCTGTGCAATACGTATTATTGTGTGATACCTTAATAACGTCTTAATGACGTCAATAAGATGTCATTAAAAGTTCATTTGACATTATTTTGCTACTTAAAGTATTATATTTCAACAATATATTGCAGCAATATTACTGTAATATTTCAATATTATTTAAAAACGTGTAATACATCAGTAATATTTCATTGTAATACGTAATATTTCCACTATATTGCAATATTACTGCAATATTTCTGCAATATTATGTGCTGTGTGGGAAGTTTCTGTCAAATTGAAACAAGTAAACTCACCATGTTAAGGGAGAATATATATTTTTGATGTTAATATTATACCACTGAGGATGGCTCGGACAGGAGCCGAAATGTTTGGATTTTTGTAAATCGAGGAATAAATCACATTTATATTTAAACGCACCGTGATCCGCGTTGTGACCCTTACAGCCCTTTTCTACTTATATGAATATATACTGTTTTTATTGAATAATTTCATGTTTTTATCGTCCCCCGCAGGCAGGGGTGGACTTCGGTTCACGTGGAAAGTTGAAAATCCGTACCGTATATACAATGATAGATCTCGTGTGAATCTATTGTATTCATGCATATACTTTTCCATCCACACAACAATTGGGTTGGGTTAGGTTAGTTTTTTTTTTTAGGTGGAGCCCCCCGCAGCGGGGCGGAACCTACTACCTCCACGCATATACTTTCCGTGCGAAACAAGATGCCACAAGGATTTACAACTTCCCACGCGTGAAAAAATGGGTAGGGCCTTTTGAATTTACATGAAAACATGTTTGTTGATTTGTATAGTTGTTCGTTGTGGTTACAGTACAGTTGATTGTACATTTTATCTTAAAAGATGGCTTTATCATAAGAGTCGCCAAAATTCCTTTTAAGGGCTTTCATTTTAATGCAAAATAAAGCCTTTCACAAAGTTTCATCAAAATCGGAAGTAAGTTGTTTTCGAAACTTTATTCGTATCCAGTATCTGTGTGAAGTTAGCATCCCATTTTTGAAGTTTTGAAATTCTAAAAGTGGTTCCAAGTTGTTCTAGACTTGTTCTAAATTGTTCCAAAAGATCTAATTTTTAAAATAAAAATGTTCGCGGAAAATTAATAAAAACGATTTTCTGACCTGGCACCCCATTTTTCGAAAATCAAACTTTTCAAGGTTGTTCTAGTTGTTCCAAAGTATTAGTTCGATTGGTTAAAAACTTCTTTAAGAGATATTGAAAAAAAAAATTTTTTTAAATAACAGTTTTTGGCCATTTATTCGTAAACAAAATGACTTACAAGACTGTCGATCTAGAACATATTTCTAACCGCGTTGAACAACTCAGAACAAAAATTTTAAAACCAGAACAAGAATCTAAAGGGTACTTTACTCTTCATCGGAAATATTATTTTTTTATTTTCTTGGTTAAAAATCTTGTTTCAGGCTTTCCGTTTTAAAACTATTATATCCTCCACTAGAACAACTCAGAGCAAAATTTTTGAGACCAGAACAAGAACCTAAAGAGTACTTTACTCTTCATCGGAAATATTATTTTTTTATGTTCTTAGTTAAAAATCTAGTTCCAGGCTTCCCGCGTTAAAACTATTGTGTTCTCCACTGGAACAACTCAGAACAAAATTTTTAAGACCAGAACAAGAGCCTAAAAAGCACTTTAGTTTTGGATGTTGAGAATTATTTGGTCTCTTGTCTTTTCTCTTTCTTTCTTTTTTACTAAATATTTTTGTAATTTTTTTATTTTTTTCTTTTTTGCTGGATACTTTTGTAATTTTTTCCTTTCTTTTCTTTTTGCTGTGTATTTTTGTAATTTTTTATTTAATAAATAACTAAAAAATTACGCTCGATGAAGCAAACAGCAAAAACAATTAAAAAAGGCCAAATTTCGAGCAATAATAGGTGTTGAAATTTATATATTTAAATTACAAATTACAAACAAATTGGTTTACGTTTCGGCCATACTTGGCCTTCCTCAGAACCGCAATTTCATAAATAACGTCGAATTACAATTAAAGGACTCGGATACGATCCGGCGCTACGATTTATTGTCGAATGTTAGTCAAATTTAACGCTAAATCGGTCGTCCATTACGTTGCAATGCTTATGTGCGTCCATGGGTTGGTGCAAACGAAAGCCATTGTCGCCAGACCCTCTTAGTGGCAACTGAATCAAATTTTGAAATTCTGTAGGACACGCGAATTTAATAATTGAGTTTGACTCGTAAAAGTGGACTTACATAAGCGGTCGGTACCACAGGAACGCAAGAGAATTCTTTCCATCGTCAATTGGAGCGAGTGTTCGTAGTTAAAGATCGCAGACGACCGAGAAAACGTTCCCATCGCAAGGGCAGAGCAACGGAACGCAAGCGAATTCTTTCCATCGTCAATCAGGAGCGGGTGTTCGTAGCTAAAGATCGCAGACGACACAGTGTCGTTCCGTTGCTCTGCCCTTGCGATGGAAATGTTTTCTCGGTCGTCTGCGATCTTTAACTACGAACACTCGCTCCAATTGACCATGGAAAGAATTCTCTTGCGTTCCTGTGGTACCGACCGCTTATGTAAGTCCACTTTTACGAGTCAAACTCAATTATTAAATTCGCGTGTCCTACGAAATTTCAAAATTTGATTCAGTTGCCACTAAGAGGGTCTGGCGACAATGGCTTTCGTTCGCACCAACCCATGGACGCACATAAGCATTGCAACGTAATGAACGACCGATTTAGCGTTAAATTTGACTAACATTCGACAATAAATCGTAGCGCCGGATCGTATCTGAGTCCTTTATTTGTAATTCGACGTTATTTATGAAATTGCGGTTCTGAGAAAGGCCAAGTATGGCCGAAACGTAAACCAATTTGTTTGTAATTTGTAATATTTGAATATATAAATTTCAACACCTATTATTGCTCGAAATTTGGCCTTTTTTAATTGTTTTTGCTGTTTTTTTATTTAATGTTTTTTTAACTTTTTCAAGATTTTATAACTTTTTAAATTTTTTTATGTTTTAAGCAATAACTTTTTTTATCTCTTTTTTTGGGATGGACTTTTTTCAGGATTTACTTACTGGACTTTAATATATACTATCAAATGTAGTTTTAGTGTAGCATTAATTTTAACTCTACTTGGCCTACGGCTCCAGTCGTCAAATTCTGTCCAGTTCTCATTATATTTAATGAATGCTGTGTAATGTCCTACTGAATTGATTGACGTACCGCCATAATAATTAATTATTCTTGTTAATTTATATTCACAGTCATTAAGGGTAATATGATCGGTAAAATTATTTAAGTCGTATGTTTGCTGACTGATATACTATGTTTAATTAACACATGTGATCCGTATTCTATCTCCATTTGAATGCTCTTGTTGCACGTTTTACAAGTTTTAATAGACATTTCTGTCACATACTCTGTAATGGCTTCGTCTAATTTTTTATACCCATATTCTTCTATTATTTTTGTTTGAATGGGTAAAATAATTCCCGACCGAGATTTACTATTTTGACATTTGTTACATGTATTTGTAATTTTATAACTCGGATTTTCCTTAAATACCTGCTCAAATAAATTATTTATATTGGAAAGAGCATCAATAATTATTATATCAAAAGTTGCTCCATTTCGAATAAAAAATTCTACCTTTTTTAACAGTTTCGCTCTTTTTTTTATAAATTCTCTTGGTCGGTCCTTCCTCTAGATATTGTTTAATAAATGTAAACATTTCTGTAGATTCTGTTTTTGAAGTATTGTTGAAAGCTTCATACATAGTTGCACTTGCAAATATATGGACTGTTCAGGATTTTCCGTCGCGATCGCGGATCGATTTAGACACGCGTAACGCCATCCCTGGTTGGTTCTCTGAAAGAGTTGATTTCGCGCCACACCCCGCGTTAACCCCTGACCAAGAAGTCTCTCCCGACGCGTTATTGATCCTGCCATGCCTGGATCGCGTGATCCAGCAAATAAAAACTATTGGTCAATACGTGTCGCGCGCCCGAAAACTCTCGAAACGGGACCGCGAAAGCTCCGGTCTCAGTAGTAGCGACAAGTACTCCG